ATATAAATAATTATTTATATTTATTATTATATAATATTAAAAATTTAAAATATTATAATATTTATAAAACTTTTAAATTTAAATAATTATTATAACTTACTTAATTTCATTAAGTTTACTATAAGCTATAAACGACTAAATACATTATTTTAATTTACTTTATATGCTAGGGTTGGGTCACCTGACCCAATCCATATTATCAAGGTCTTATTAACGATTAGATACCCCTAGCTCGGTCAACTCCCAACTCTCAACTCTCAACAGCAATGCTCCAGATCACGTAAAACAACAATTTCCATTGGATTAGCATCTTTCCGCGTAGAGAACATCTCTACGCATCAACCGAAGATGCATTTTCCGGCGAACTCGCTGTCACTGTCGCTTGCAGTGCTGCTAGCCCTGCCGGCGGCCGTGCGCGCCGTGTTCAAGGACGAGGTCGGCCATATCGACTACCACCACGAATTGCTCGGCGTGCCGCAGCGCGAAACTACCTTCTTCCACCGACCTAGACCCTCGGAGAAAGCGAGTCTACTGTATACCCTGAGCGACTTGGGTGTGCTAGGCGCCGTCAACCCCGGCAATGGCGCGATCGTATGGCGACAGCTGTTAAATGAAAGCAGTACGGATGGCGGAGGACACTTACGAGCGGGCGAAGATGATACGTGGTTGGCGAGTGCAATGGGAAGCAGTGTGCATACGTGGGACGCGATCAGTGGGTGCAACGTATGGACACTCAATTTTGAGGGGACAGTGAAGGACCTCGAGGTTATGGAGATGACGGAGGGCGATCGAAAGGATGTTCTTGCATTACACGAAGAAGCCGGCACGACAGTCGCGAGGAGAATACACGGCACGGAGGGAAGCGTGGTCTGGGAGTGGAGGGGCGTCACGGAGGATGTGCCGCTGCAGGTCAGCACCAACACAGGAAAAGTCTTCGTCGTCACGCTGCACGGGTCCCTGCTCTCCTACAATCTGAAGGTCATGGTCTTGGATACGCTCACCGGAAAGAAACTCGACGAGATCGTCATTGGTACCAAGGGTGAAGTCCAGAAACCCGAGGACGTCATGTTCGTCGGCGCCAACTCGGCTGCTCCCGTCGTGGCCTGGACCGACAACACACTCACCAAACTCAAGGTCAACGTGCTCGGCTCCAAGAACAGGCAGGAATTCCCGCTCGTAGAGGATGCGGTGAGCGTCGAGGTCCACGCCCCGCATACCGTGCAGAGCTCGCCGCATTTCCTCGTGCATACCCGGACCAAGACGGGTAGTAAGGCGGATGTGTTCCATATCGACCTCAAGAGCCATGCCATCACCAAGGCGTACGATCTGCCGCTGCTTGAAGGTGGGAGCGCGTTTTCGACGAGCTCGGATGCTTCGAATGTCTACTTTACGCGTGTTACGGCCGATGAGGTTATTGTCACTTCGTCAATGTCCCATGGCATACTAGGACGTTGGGCTCTGAAATCAGGAACCGAGAAGCTGCTTGCCGTCCACGGCGTCTCGGAAGTCGTCAAGAAAGCCGAGGACAACTACGCCGTACGATCAGCCATCGTTACTGACGCCGACGACTGGACTCAGATCGTCAACGGCGACGTTTCCTGGACCCGGCCCGAGGGTCTGAGCGGTGCCGTCGCTGCCACGTGGGCCGAGATCCCCGAGTCGGAAGCTCTGGCTAGGACGCTCGAGGCCGAGGCTCATACTGATCCTTGGTCTGCTTTCGTGCACCGCGTGACTCGCCATTTTGATGAGCTGCAGTACTTTCCTGCGTATCTGCAGGCCCTGCCTACCCGTCTTGTGGCTAGTATACTTGGTTCCGAAACAGGGGGTGCAAGTGGTGTGCTTTCACGAGACAGCTTTGGGTTCAACAAACTTGTTGTGCTAGCTACGAAGCGCGGTAAGCTTTATGGGCTTGATGCCGGCAACCAGGGAAGAATTGTCTGGTCCAAGAATGCGAATGAGACGCCCGGGAACAAGCCTTGGAAGGTAGTTGCTATCCACGCTGACGATGCAAATGGGGTTGTCACTGTCCGCGGGGCTAGTGGAGAGTTCATCATTGTCAAGTCAGACACTGGTAAGACTATTGAGTCCATACCCGCTGGCTTGTTCCCACCGGTGGAGAGTGCCGTTGTAGTGGACAGCGACGCTGGACCCTGGCTGCTTCCCATCGGAGAGGGCGGCAAGATTTCCGAGATGCAAAGCTCTTTCGCTCCCAAGCAGACCGTAGTCACGAGGACAGAGGACGGCGGAATCAAAGGCTCGAAATTTGTAGCCAAGGGTGAGAACGCTGCTGAAGTGCCAACTTGGACTTTCAACCCCCCTGCTGGACAGAAGATCGTCGAGATAGCTAGCCGATCCAAGCACGACCCCATCGCGTCCATAGGCCGCGTACTAGGGGACCGCACGGTGAAGTACAAGTACCTAAACCCCAACACCCTAGTCGTCGCCGCCACCGACGAGCAAGCCAACTCGCTCGTCGTTTACCTCCTCGACACGATCTCCGGCCAAGTCCTCACCTCGTCCACGTACGAGGGCGTCGACCCCACCAAAGACATCAGCTGCGCCGTGGCCGAGAACTGGTTCCTGTGCTCCTTCTACGGACAGTACAAGCTCCGCGACGCGGCCCAGAACCTCAAGGGCTACCAGGTCGTCGTGTCCGACCTGTACGAGTCGGACGAGGCCAACGACCGCGGGCCCCTCGGCGACACCGTCAACTTTTCCAGCCTGGACCCCGTCGATAGCCCCACCGGCCCGTACCTCCCCGCCGTCGTGAGCAAGACGTTTATCCTCAGCGCGCCGATCCGGAGTCTCGCGGTCACCAAGACGCGCCAGGGCATCACGAGCAGACAGCTGCTGGCGTACCTGCCGCAGTCCCACGCCATCGTCGGCATCCCGCGCATGGCGCTCGAGCCCCGGCGGCCCGTGGGCCGGGACCCGACGCCCGCGGAGCTCGAAGAGGGCCTGTCGAAGTACGTCCCCGCCATCGAGCTGGACCCGCGCCTGCAGATCACGCACCGCCGCGAGGTGCTCGGCGTCCAGGAGATCATCACCACGCCTGCCGTGCTCGAGAGCACCAGCCTCGTGCTGGCGTACGGCGTGGACGTCTTCGGCACGCGCGTCGCGCCTAGCATGGCGTTCGACGTCCTCGGCAAGGGGTTTAATAAATTGGCGCTGCTCGGCACCGTGGCGGCGCTCGTCCTGGGGGTGGCGGCTTTGAGACCGATGGTGAGTTCTTTCTTTAATTTCTTCGGAACTTCTTAGGAGACGGGGAAATATGGGACGAGAAGGCATATGCTAACAGTGACTATAGGTGAGGAAGAAGCAGATCGATGCCCGTTGGAAGTCCTAGATGAATTGACGACGCGGACCCGGACGTATTACTGAGAAGATGGACAGAAAAGGGGAAGGGGGAAAGAGGAATGAGGGAATGAGGGCAGGTGTATGATTACTTCACTACGACAGGGTTACCTCCTGCCACCTAGGTGTGTGGTGTGATGGGACTTGTAAAAGTTAGAGGGGTTAGGAATTCTTAGAAACACGATTGCATGTCAACCTGTAATTGTTGTTCTCGTTACGTTCAAGTGACCATGTACCTGTTCCTCTTCGGTACTATTGTACTCAGCCAGTCAAGAATACCTAACATTCTATTATAAGCCTACGGTCAAGTCTAGACTACGAAAAATTAAAAAAGGGGCAGGGGGAAGGATACTAACTGGGCCACTTGAGGAATCGAACCCCAACACCAGAACCCTCGCAGTCACGTTTCCACCGATTATTGCTAAGCCCTAGACGGAACCAACTTGACCATTGCTGTCTTTGTCTTGTTTTTTCTTCTGGTTCTTTACTGTCAATTCCAACTAATGACTGCATGGTTGACACGGTTTTTGAGTTTAGTGCAAACAACTTGTATTGTAACTTCGTCTAACTTGCAATTTGTCGTTGCTCGTGTGCAGTGCTTGTTTGCAGAGCAGGTAGAGACATGGAGGCAATGGTTAGATGGGGATACTCATTCAAGTTAGGTAGAGCATGTCATAATTTGTATACGCATCGAATTATCAAAATGGCTAACTAATGCCTTACGTATCTCACTTGTTGCTCCAGTCTGCTTCAATTCCGAGAAAATAGTGCACCATGGCCATACCTATATCACACCAACCTTTAGACATATCAGTGAACCGGTCCCTTAATTACCTACCTAACCATCTCATTTTCTAAAGACAGCGTTATAAAAAAGAAAAAGAAGGGAAAAAAAAAACAAGCTCCACTCCGTTTCGATCGGAGGTCCTCCGGGTCCCAATTAAGGTCCTGGCGCGCTCCCACTGCGCCATGAAGCTCTTACTGTGATAGTCTTTCCGTTTTTGTATCTACCTACCTACCTACCTATTTGGGGATATAATAGGAGATGACATCTAGCGACGGAGGGAGAGGAAGAGGCTAGGTGTGGATTATAGGCCATCGTAGCAGTTCATATCACCTCTCTCGTTTTTTTAGATCACAACTCTCTTAATAACCAATTGCTCTTGATTGGGGGGGCCTTACGGAGGTAGGTAGTTATAGAAGGGAAAAAGACAAAGTGGTTACGGCCAAATTAAAAGAGCTCAGCATGTTTGGATCTATTACCTAGGGCGAAGAGAAACGGCCCACGAAACCAGACCAAACAGGCGTATTCTTAGTTCAATCATGTATTGATCCTCATCACGACGTGGATAAATCCTCCGTCGGGTAGGTAATCATCCTCTATCTATCGTACCGACTAGACTAGTTCCTAGTAGTCCTTCCTACACACAGCCCCCTCCCTTACACCTTTTCGAGCATCAAGTCATCAAACCCCAACTTCACGCAAAGTTCAAGGCGACAGCCTCTTCGGCGTGCGGGGGTAGTAACTCGTCAGATGCACGCTCGGCAGGTTCAAGTACCACGCGACCACGCGATCCAGGCCGATACCGCCACCGCCGTGCGGCGGCACGCCCGCGCTGCGGAACACGTCGACGTACTCCTTGATGCCCTGGCTGGCGGGGTCGATGCCCTTCTTCCTGAGCCTCGCCTCCAGCAGCTCGGGGGTGTGGATACGCTGGCCGCCTGACAGGATCTCCTGGCCGCGCATGAAGAAGTCGTAGGCGTTGGTGACCTTGGGGTTGGCGGGGTCCTCGATGGTGTAGAAGGGGCGGGCGCCCTCGGGGAACTTGTCGAGGACGTAGAAGTCGGTGGCGAACTTCTTGCGCACGAGGGCGCCGAGGGCCTTCTCCTGCGGCGTGCTCATGTCCTCGTCGTCGGACACGTGGCGGTACTCCTCGGGGCCCTCCTCGCGCAGCAGCTTCTGGCCCTCGGCGAAGGTCAGGCGCACCTCCCGGCCGGGCTCCGGCAGCAGGAAGTCGTCGGACGGGTAGATGGCGCGGATCAGGTCGACCTGCTCCTTGCACCGCGTCTGCAGCCCCCGGAAGATGTGCAGCATGACGCCTTCGATCATGTCGATGACTTCGTGGTAGTGGTCCTCGATCTCCATCTCCAGATCGAGACCGGTGAACTATAGATAATCGTTAATTATTTTACTTTACCCAGACAAAAAGTGATAGTGATAAGGGGTAAAAAAGGGGTACGTACCTCGGTCATGTGCCTCGGGGTATTCGAGTTCTCGGCCCTGAACACGGGCCCGATGCAGTACACCCTCTTCCTCCCGCCGGCGATCTCGATCTGCTTGTAGAACTGGGGGGACTGGGCGAGGAAGGCGTGCTTGTCGAAGTAGGGCAGGGAGAAGACGTTGGCGCCGCCCTCGGAGGCCGCGCCGATCAGGCACGGCGCCTCGAACTGCACGAAGTCCTTGCTGTCGAGGTACTCGGCGAACAGCTTGCGCACGGTCATGCGCACGTCGGCGATGGCCTGCTGCACGGGGGCGCGCTTGTGCATGGCTGGGTTGTTGAGGTGGGTGCTGAGACTAGCCGATGGCGCGGCAGCGGAGTCAGTCAGGGTCAGGTTCTCGACTTGCTCGGCGGGCGCAGCGGTTTGCGGATCCTCGTCGTCGAAGCTGGCGATGGCGCGGTTGGCGGCGTTGAGGCCGAGGGGCAGGACCTCGGGGCCGGCGGCGATCAGGTAGCACTTGGTCAGGTGCAGCTCGTACTCGCTGACGCGGCAGCTCTTGACGGGCTCGAGCGGCTTCTGCACGGTAGCCTCGACTAGCACGAAGCTCTCGAGTCGTAGCGCGCCGACCCATTTCACCATCTGCTTGGACACGGGTGTGCCGTCGGCGCTGGCGGCCATGACGCCCTGGACGGACCAGTTGCGCTCCTCCCGCAGCTCCACGAAGGCCATCTTGGCGCCTTGCATGCGCGCGTTCTGGATCCAGGCGCGCAGCTTGATGGTCTTGCCCAGGTGCTCGTCGCCCAGTTTCTTGAGCTGCACCTTGTCGGCGGCGACTCTAGTGGAAGGTTGGATATCGCCGTAGTTCTCCTTGGCCAGGTCCTCGTTTCCGCCAGAAGCAGCCTTCTGCGCTGCGGCGGCAGCTTCTCGCTCCGCGGCCTTGCGCGCCTTCTCGGCTTCCTTCTTGGCTTTGGCTTCGGCCTTCTTCGCGCCCTTCTTGGAGGTGGGAGCTTCGCCTTCTGCCGGCGGGGCAGCTGAGCCCGCGGCTTGGGCTGGGTCGACGGGCGGTTCAGACATGGTGATACTTTCTGGTATTTTGATGGATGGGAGAGAAAAGAGAAACTCAATTGGAGGGAGTATCCGAAGAGAAGATAATCGCAACTCCCTCTTTTATAATTTATCTAATATGGTAGAAGGTGATATGGTGTGACTCTTCCGGTCAACAGTAAACGGGTGATATTGGTGACTGTGACGCGGGGCATTTTTTATCGGTGGTGGGATGAGAGAACAAGATGGCGGGGCTAAATCGGATAATTCTTGGTTTGTGGATTGTTGCATACGACAAAAATAAATGGGAACTGCTACGGTTAACTGAATTTTTCACTTCATCAATTGAGACTTTCATCTCATACTAAAACACTCTCAACGTAGCAACACCGTCTTCCACAGAAATTCAATGATTCACAAATTGGAATTCTTAGTGAAATATTAAATCATGTCGGAAGTTCAAGCAAAACCTAGGCCCAGACCCAAGGCCCCAAAGCCCAAAAGCAAGAAGCGCTCCAGGGCCGACGACGGCGGCTCCCAACCCAAACGAAGAAAGGCAGCTCAGTACGAGGAAGACGAGGAATACCTAGACCTCGAAGCCGGAGTGAACAAGAAGATCGGTCTCATCGACAACCTGTTACTTGCGGACCACCTAGCCAAGAAGATCAGACGATTCGGCACGGATCTAACGCCAATCGAGCTCAGTCGACTCGACATCTCACGTATGGTCTCATAAACTTATTAATACATTGGCGAGAAGTTGTCTAATATAAATCCAGCGAGCTACGTCACGGACACCACGTCCTTCCTGAAGATGCGTAAGCTAGAGAGTCTACCGGATTTTTTAGAGCAGTTCGCGGACCCGAAGAAGCTCGGCGAGGCGCCCAAGGAGAAAGGCTCGCCGCATACGATAATCGTCACCGGCGCTGGCCTACGAGCCGCGGATACCGTCAGGTATGGTTTCTTCTCTCTCCCATACTCTAGTATTATGAATGCTTACGAAATGCAGGGCCGTCCGAAAGTACCAGACCAAGAATAATGCAGTCGCGAAACTGGTATGAGATACATCCCCGTTATCAAAAGGAGGTTCAACTAATAATTGTCTTTAGTTCGCCAAGCACATCAAGGTGGAGGAAAGTGTTCAGTTCCTCGAGAAGCATCGTACCGGCATCGCTGTCGGAACACCCACGCGATTGTCTGACTTGGTCGAGAACTGTGAGTCCTTCTCCTTCTAACCCTTGCCCCGCTCTCCCTAGCCATTCTAATTCTAACATAAAATAGCTGCGCTAAAGTTGAACAACCTCGAGCGTCTGGTCATCGACGCCTCGCACATCGACCAGAAGAAGCGTGGCATCATGGACATGAAGGAGACCATGGTGCCGCTGGCCCGCTGGTTGGCCCGGCCTGAATTCAAGGAGCGCTACGTGGATGAGGAGAAGCCGCTACAGCTGCTCTTTTTCTAGGAAGTCAAGGTACTATCGTTAGTTCCCTTGGAGGTTATAAAAGTCTAAGTGTACGGAGCATTTACGCATGATACCCACTGAATCGATTCTCTTTTTATTACTCTATTGGAGTTCGAACTCGCTGTTGATGCATTCGGCACACCAATAACAACGCCTCCGCCGCGCCCGACCGTAATGGCACTTTGCCACCAAACCAGAACAGCTTACTAACGTTATAGGCCCCCCAACAATATGTGGTAATTTCTACGAAAAGAATACCTGGTAATATAGTAAAAATTTTGGGACTCTTTTTCGTCGGTCCCTGTATTGGTGCCTTCCCTGCAACAGTTTATAACTTGACGAGAAAATGAAAAATCAACAACAAAAGCGCCGCTGAATATAGTTGTGGGACGACTTGAAGGCTGTTACCCACGCTCTCGAACTCACTTCTCTTGAGCTCAATGTGCTGTTGAAAAGGATGATACTCATCCTGACCGTAGGTTGCATTCAACGTCACGTTCTCGGGAACCAACCCGTCTTCCAATCGAATCCACGTAACTACCTCCTTTGTTAACGTATCTTGCCGTAGTAGGATTTGTCTTCCGCCGCGAGCCAGGTTTCCATAGCTTCCATATCCTGTATGGCGACCATAGCACACGTTGACACCATCTTTGGCTACGGCCTCCTTGGTAGTAGGACGTTTCCACTTGAAGCACCTATAGAAATGCACATTAGCCACCAAATCTTCCTAAGACTAATGAAGATAGCTCCTACCAGTCATTGTCATGGTCATGGCCGCTAAAGGTTGCTAATAGCCCATCCGTGCTCGATAGCGCGGTCATAAAAGACACGTCGTGGCCAGTCTTGTCATCAAACCCTCGGCCCTGCCACCAGACCTTTTCCCCGTCGATGCCCGGTTCCCTACTGGGATCAACACCTGGGTCTGCCTGGAACGCATATGTTGCACTGATAGGTATGTGAAAGAAAGCAAGCGACGGAATGGTCCTCTGGTATTGTTGGGTGAGACTTGCACTGGCATCCTTAAACCAGTCGACAACCTAATCAGTGTTAGGAGGTTCAGGTGGGCTGGGAATCGAAAGCGAAGCCTACCGAGTCGTCGACCCAGTCATGTGACTCACGTCCTCCTCTACTGTCGAAGAACCATAGAATAACTTCTGGCACATCTTCATTCCCAGATGCCGAGTATACCTGTAAGAAGTAATTGGAGACGCCGGCCTGAGAATTATCGGGTAACATGTTCTGAGTTAAAC